TGCCCCACTCGCGCCCCTCGTGGCCACCGGCCCCATGGCTCCTCACACTCAGATTCAGAGAGAAAACACTGTGCCTGGCCAGCACTGGCCCAGCCATGCCTCAAGCCTCCAGGGAGCGTGGTGGGACAGAGCGGGCGTGCACAGGAGACGCGGGCCACAGGGCCCACGCTGTGGGTGCACAGGACAGCAGCAAACGCCAGGGAGAAGGCAGGCGTGTGCTGTGTCCTCCTTCAACATACAGTGGAAGGAAGGGCCAGAACCACTTGTGCTGGGACGACAGGCTGAGCCACCAACCTCATGAGCTTTTAACGTGAGACACTGCATTTCGTACGGTGGTCGTGCTAGCATTCTGATTTTTTTAGAGGCGTGTCTGAAATGGTTTCAGCTGAAATAAAGAAGGCTTGGAGGCTGGACATGGAGGATCACGGCTGTAATCTCAGCACTTTGGGAGGCTGAGGAAGAGGATGCCGTGAGACCAGGAGTTTGAGATCAGCCTGGGCAGCACAGCGAGACTCCATGTCTACCACAAAATAAAAATTAGCCGGGTGTGGTGGCACATGCCTGTAGTTCCAGCTACTTAGGAGGATCCTATGAACCCAGGAGCCTAGGAGTTTCAGGCTGCGGCAAGCTATGACTGCCACTGCACTCCAGCCTGGGCAAGAGCGAGACTCTGTCTCTAAAAGGAAAAAACCCAAAAAAACTGGTGGGGGAGGGCTGACAGGGGACATGGGGACCCTCTGCACCATCTCTGCACCTTTGCTACAAACCTAAAATCACTCCAAGTTTCCCAAAGCGCCAAGAACAGGTGCAGCGCCTGGCCACGGGGGCTGCCCATGCCAGCTGGGTCTGCGCAGCAGCAGGTGGGACACGCCCTCAGTGCCGGGGCCGTGCCACGGGGTCCGAAGTGAGCAGGCGGGTGGGGGGTGATGAGGATGGAGAAGCGTGTGGCAGGGAGGGAAGTGAGCATTCCGGGCCCACCCAGGGGTGCAGGACACTGGCACGGCACAGCCTCGACACCCACGTGCTTGTCCGTGGTCTTGGGAACCAGAGCCAGGGCCTGTGTCCCCAGAGAGGGACTGCGACCTCAGGGCCCTGTCCTCACACTGGGCAGGCCAGGAGTGGCCCTCTGCAGAAGCAGGCCCATGCACTTGGGGAGACCCTGGCGCTGGGTGAGAGGTGGCAGCCACCACCTGGGCCCTCACCTGCAGCTGCAGGAATGGAATATTGAAGAACTTGTGGAGGTACTTGAGGCCAAAGCTGTTCTTCATGGAAGACTCAGCGTAGCGGAAATAGGAGGCGCCCGGAGGTCTGTGCAAGAGGGAAGCTCAAGTGGGGAGCCCACGGGGCTCCCGGGTGGGACCTGCCGGCCTCCCGCCCCCAGCAGCCTCCCGGGGCGAGTGAGGCACTCCGAGCTGCCCTCTGCAGGCAACCCCGTGGCAGGCCCACCCGCCCCGCTCGTGCCAGCAGACCCGCCTGCCCAGCTAGGCTCCGGCGACTCGGCCCCACAGGCCCCGAGGCCGCCACTCACCTGTCCAGGTTGTCGATGAAGTGGCGCACGTCGTCGGGCAGGATGACGCGGTGCTCGCCCATGTCGCGGTAGTTGCCCAGAACGCACACCGGCACGTGGGTGGGCACTTTGGGGAGCTCGCGGAGGATGTAGTTGAAGGTCCTTGGGGGCAGGTGAGGACCCGCCTGAGTGCTGCCCCGCGACGCCTGCCCCCCAGCCGCGTGTGCCCAGAGTGGAGGATGACTTCTCTAGGACCCCGCCCCCGCCCCCCGCGCCCCGCCTCTCCTCGGAGTGTTGTCTGTTCCTGCGAGATCACCCCACCAGCCCTTCTGTGGGACCGGCCGGGGCGCCCTCGGCCGCAACTGAGGAGCCCGCTCCGTCCAACCACCTGCTGGCTGGTGCCCAGCGTGGCGGAAGCGCCCATGGCTGTCCCCGCCAGAGGCACTCAGGCTATGGGTGACGCTGCCCTAGCTGCTCTCTGCTGGACAAGAGTCACGGGCAGCCAGCCCGCCTCACCACTGCTTGGTGATGTCGAACATCATGACCACCCCGTTACAGTTCTTGTACACATCCAGGAACTCGGCATCCAGGGCCAACTCGGACTCCGCCTGGGGAGGGGGGAACGCCTGTGAGGCTGGCCAGGCCAGGCCGGGGGGAGGCCCCAGAGGATGCTTCTGCTCTGAAGAGACAGCAAAGCCATTTCCACTGGGGACACATCCGTGGGAGCAACAGCCCCGCGGGCCAACGCAGGTCTGCCCCAGGGCGTGGTCAACGCCACCGCCCAGCCACCATCAGCAGCTCGCACAGCCTCAGTGAGATGTGTGTTCCAGATGTGATTCCTGGAGCCCACAGCCTCCCAAAGGGAGCAGAAGGTGCTGGGCTGGATGGGAGGTGGGGGAAGGGCCCCGGAGCTCAGCCCAGAGGTTCTGGAGCCGCCCACGCTCACGGGCCACAGCTCCAGCCAGTCCTGCGCTTTCAAGGGCTCCAGCTGTTGTGAGGGGATGGAAAATCCGGATCTCAGGCCTCCAAGCCCCAGTCAGGGCCAGTCCACTGCGATGCCTGTCGGCCAACCCCCCGCAGACTGCTCGAGGCAGCTGGCCACCCACAGCCCACCGCGGGCAGCGCAGGGTCCCGAGCGGTTGAAGGGCCAGTAGCCGCGCAGTCAGGGCCCCAGAGCTCAGGGAAGCCTGTCGGCAGGCAGTGCACCGGCGCCCCACCTGGGGCCTGGCAGGCCGTGGCCGCCCCACTCACCTCCTGGGGGTCGTTCTCCATCTTCAAGCCGTCACCGCGCTTCTTGCATTTTCCTGTTCGAGCAAAAGGAGCAGAAACTACCGAGTGGGCTCGCCGGGCCTGACGGGGGCCTGACAGTGGAGCACGGTTCCCCAGCCACACTCCACGGGCCCCTCGGCCACTGACCGCAGCTCAGCGTGCCCGCCAGCATGGAAGCAGAGGGAGACCCCCGGCAGGCGGGAGAAAGGCAGAAGCCAGCAGTCCGACAGGATAGGTGGGCGGGAAGGGCCGGGCAACAGAGCCTGGCTGGGAGGTGAGGATGGGCCTACGGCCACAGGCAGCCGTGAGAAGACGCCTGTGGCCTGCAGGGAGGTGTGTGCCCCAGGCAGGGCCTCCCAGTGGCTTGACTGCTCATGCCCAGGCAGGGGTGGTGCGGGGACCACGGGGCGCAAGGGTTCCCTTGGTGGGGGAACAAGAGCAGGAACCCGAGGCAGCTTCCTGACACCCCCTTAGCGGAGACAACCTGACCGAGGAAGGGGAAGGCTGCAGCTCCGCACCCAGCTGGAGCCCCCACGAAGGCCACCCCGGCCGGTGGCTGCCACCACAGTCCCCACGGCCCTGCTGAGTCGCGGGGAGCTTGCCGCACACCCCTCTGTCTCTCCGGAATACTGTGCCGAGAAGGGGCAGGGATCCCCCCGGGAACTCCAGGGACCCCGGCAAACACAAGACCCCAGAACAGCCAGGCTCACCTCTTTGAAACCCCCCGTGCCACTATAGCAAGTGTGGCTAAAAAACCAAAAGCATAAAACCAGCGCCAGCCCTCCCTGGGCTCCCAGCTGACAGCGCCAGGGCTGCAGGCGGCCCCCAGACCCCCAAGACAGCAAGCTGGGGGGAAGGTGGAGGTGCCCTCCTCGTCACCTCAAGAGTTGCCCAGGCGGGGCCACGCTGGGTGCAAGGACATGGTGCCCAGAGGAGCTGGGCCTTCCCTCTTGGGAGGCAGCACCCTGGTGGTGGCCGTGAGGCTCTCCAAGGCGGGCGCGACAGTGGTGGGGTGCGCCCGACCCCAGGGACCTGAGCCACGCCTCGCAGCCCCACCCTCAGGTGCCAGGCGCAGGGGCCAGGGCAGGCTTTTCACCACAGGGTCCCACAGCAGCAAAGGCACGGCATGCTGCCAGGGGTCCCTGTCCTGCACAGTGAGACCACCCCTACAACAGCTCCCGTGGCTCCAGCCTGACACCGACCCCACTCCAGGCACCTGACCACAGGACACCTGCACCCAGTCCCAGCTCGCGCGAGCCCAGGAGCCAAGCTGGGGCGAGGGCTGCGAGGGGTCACTGTGATTTCCCGAGGCCCCCAGCCTCCATGGGGAGGAGCGGGCACCTCCTCAAGCGGGCAGGCATTATTGCCTGTGAGTGCCCGGGGGCTTGGCACTCCTGCAGGCACCCTGGCCAGCTGGATCCTCCCGAGACCCACACACCCCAAAAAGCACAGGCGGAGGGAGGGGCACATGTGCCATCTGGCCCAGAACCCACAGCCCAAGACACAGTCTCTTTTCCCAGCGGAGCTTCAAACCGGGAGACACAGCCTTGCCTGCAAGGTCAGGGCCAAGTGTGAAATCAGGGTCACAGCTGTGAGGTCAGAGGTGGTGCCCATAAGATCAGGGGCCAAGTGCAAAGTCACTCTTGTAAGGTAAGAGGCCGAGTGTGAGTTCAGGGGCCAAACCTGCGAAGCCAGGGACCGTGCCTGGGAGCAGAGACCATGCAGGCGGCCAGACGCCCTGCCTGTGAGGTCAGTGGCTACGTGAGGTCAGAAGTTATGCCTGGGAGGTCAGCGGCTGAGTGAGAGGTTAGAGGCCATGGCTGTGAGGTCAGTGGCAAGTGTGAGGTCAGAGGCCAAGTGTGAGGTCAGACACTATGCCTGGGAGATCAGCAGCTGCGTGTGAGGTCAGAGGCCACGTGTGAGGTCAGAGGCCATGCCTGTGAAGTCAGAGGCTGAGAGTGTGGTCAGAGGCCGAGTATGAGGCCAGAGGCCATGCCTGTGAGGTTAGAGGCCAAGTATGAGGTCAGCGGCTGAGTGTGAGGTCAGGGGCCAAGTGTGAGGTTGCATCAGATGCCATGCCTGTGAGGTCAGAGGCTGGGTGGGTGGTCAGAACTTGCACGTGTGTGTGCGCGTACACACACACACACACACACACACGCACACACACAAACGCACACACAACCAGGCACTAGGGAGGGATGTGCGCTCTCACCCAGAGGATCCCAGAGGAGGACCTGACGTGGAGAAGACAGAAATGAGACTGGACGCTGTTGCGATGGGGCCCACTGTCACCTCCTACGGCGCCTGAGGCTTGGGTGGGGTGTGGGGGGGCCAGGATCCCGGACAGGGACACGTGTCCGGACTGCCCGGCAGTGAGGGAGTTGGGTCTGTGGCTCAAGGTCAGGGCCGCCGGCTGCCAGCCTGTCGCCACTGCAGCTCACCTGGGGCTCCCAAAGCAGCCCGTGGCCCCTGCCACACGCTCTGTGGCTTAGACAGATGCTCACCGCCGCCAAGTGTGGGGTGTCCTGCCAGGCCTCCCCCGGTACAGGAGGGGGCTGACCAGGTTCCAGGAGCTCACGCAGGCAGCGCACATCACCCCCGCCCCGTGGCACGCCTCAGGACCCCTCCAAGGCGCAGCAGGGTGAGGGGGCGGGGGGGGCGCCAGGGAGCAGGCGCACTGCCGAGCCTCTCTGGACAGGTGAGATGGGTCCGGGGCGGAGTGACAGCAGGGAGAGGAGATACCTGAGGCAAGCACTCCTTACCTTTGTCCACCACATCCCACACCTCAACCTTCACGATGTCGTCAGTGGCTGAAACGGGAGGCCTAAGGTTAGTACCAGCATGGACATGAGCTCAGAGGTAGGCTCTGGGCCGTGTGCCCTACCCACAGGGCTCCGGCTCCCCCAGGGCCTTTGTGAGTCCCCACTGTCCACACAGCACCTTCAGGCCTCTGCTCACACCCTGGTTCTCAGGAAGGTCAGTGGTGAATGGAATGCAAAGCCCCCCAGGCCTGACCCTGAGAAGTGTCTCCGACCAGGCCTGACCCTGGGCAGTCCCTGCCCCAGCCCTATCCTGGGCATATTCCCCCTCCAGCCCTGACCCCGGGCAGAGGCCCCTCAGCTGTGGCCCTGAAGAAAGCCGCTCCCCCACCCTTGCACAGATCCTGGTACAGGTCCAATTCCCCGAGCCCCGGCACCCTGGTGGCGACCTTCCTTGTGGGCCGGTGCCTATGTCTCCCCTGTAAGCCCTTTGAGAATGGGGTCTGTGTCTGAACTGGTCTCCTGGGTCACCTCAAGCAGGCCTTTCCCACTGGATGGCTCTGACTGTATCCTGACCTCCCGACCCTTTCTGCACCCAGTGGCCGGCCTCCAACTCCTCACGGGGTCAGCAGGGTGCAGGCAACGACCGCTCAGGCGTGGGAGCCGCCCGACAGTGCCGCCCTGCTGTCCTCCTGTCCCGGCGGCCTCAGGCTCCTCCTGAGCTCCCAGGACTCCGCTCTAGGGACGCTGGGACCCTGGGAGCTCAGGGACGCCGGGCCTCGCGTCCTCTAGAACTCGGAGGAGGCCCAAGGTGAGAAGCAGGCCCCAGCCTACAAAGCCCTGCACACGGGCCCCACGCAGAGCTCACCCATGCGGCAGGAAGCTCAGGGGCACTGAATATCCACCAGCCCCACCCCGTGTCAGGAGGGGCCCCCTGGCAGGAGCCTCCCTGGGTCTGTGGCGGAGCTCCCGCCAGGCGGACGCCGGCCTCAGAACTCATCCTGCGTCCCAACGGCCACCCCTGAGGTGCTGTTTCCAGTGAAAAGAAACGGATGGAACGCTCCACGGCCTCCTCCTGTCCGGCTTCTGAAGGCCGGGTGGCTGCCGCCCTCACAGCCGCTCCCCGGAAGTGCCCGCTGTCCTCTGCACCCGCACACTCTCCCGCCCACGAGCCCAGCCACAGCGAGCGGCCTGCGGGAGGGGCCGGCCCCACTCCACAGCCCCTCCTCCCAGCACACCTGCAGTGACACAGACATCCCACCGCTGGGACGCGAGCAGCCAGGCTCCGAGGCAGCAGGGCCTCCCCCGGGGAGGCACACGCCGGCACGCCACGTCACGGTCGCTCGGGGGA